AGGCGGGGATCTATCAGGCAGATCCCCTCCTCAGTAGTGCTGACCAGGTAATTCCAGATTGACTGTTCAAGGTTACATAGTTAGGCTAGGTTTTAAGTCTTGGTTTGCGGACAGGGGCTTAGCACAAGTGACTCCACTTTGGATTTTTTTTTTTCTTTTAAAGTATAAAAGGGTATAGAATGAAAAGTAAGCATCCTTCCTACACCACTGCCCTCCCCAAAAGGCTACTACTCTCTAGCATCTCCTCCTGAGATGGTCTACATGCATACAAGCACCAAGGCACTGTTCTGCTTTTCAACTTAAGGAGGATACCACCATTTTTTAGTGCCTGACCACTCAGTCTCCGAGGACATGAGAAGGTACTAGCCTTTTCTTTCTTTTTTTTTTTCTTAATTCCTAAAAGCACTTACTAAGAAGGAATCAGGGAGGAGAAATCCTCCTCCCATGATTGTCAGTAAGTTTCATTCTTTTTAATCATATTTAAGTTCCAAAAGACAAAATTAAAACCTGGGTTGGTGTCAATCATCACGATTGACATTCCATTCCACTGAAAGCTTCATTTTGCTATAAACCATTGGTTATGGATAGAGAATGCTACATAATCAATGTTTATTAGATGCTCCAGAAGTCCCATGGAGAATATTTTCAATGGAATATGAGGGCTTGGAAATACATGAAAATGCAAGTTAGGGCTTCCCATTGCCCAAGCAATATTTGAAACAGTACATTCTAGAAGGCTGCTTATCACACTGCCCTCAACAGCTGCATGGGTTTCCTATTTTGTCATGTCCAGAAAAGGCATGAAAAGACCAGGCCTGGGGAAGAGGTGACAGTGTCCTCAAAGAAGGGATTCCTAAAAGATCCTGAAAAGTCTCTGGAGAGGGCTGAGAGGCTCACCAGGGCAGTCAGAGACGAAGTCCAGGGGGACAGGGAGGTGGCCAGCCAACTTTGAGGGGCGACTTCAAGAAGGCAGCGAAAATGTCTATGGGGCCTGGAGATAACAAGACTAAAGAAACTCACCAGGAGGGCGCCTGGGTGGCTCAGTTGGTTAAGCGACTGCCTTCGGCTCAGGTCATGATCCTGGAGTCCCTGGATCGAGTCCCGCATCGAGCTCCCTGCTTGGCAGGGAGTCTGCTTCTCCCTCTGACCCTCCCCCCTCTCATGTACTCGTTCTCCCTCATTCTCTCTCTCTCAAATCAATAAAGTCTTTAAAAAAAAAAAAAAAGAAAGAAAGAAACTCACCAGGTAGTGCAAAAATGGAAAAACTAAGGAACCCAATGAGAATGTGCTTGAAGCTCAATAGGGCGATTTGTCTTAAAAACGGACAAAAACAATATGGAGCGGTGCATTTTGTGCCCAAAGCCCACAAATAGATAAAAATGTGTAGGATTCAGAACGGATTTCCTCCCATCAGCCGATGGCAGTTGAGGGACATGGGTGCTACCTGAAATGCATCTCTCTCCTACAACCATCATGGTATATTTTTGCTGCTTTTTATCTTATAACATTTATCCTTGATATTTCAGAGATGTTCTAAATATTTCCTACATTGTGGTTCTACAAACCAAAAAAAGGCGTTTGGCCTTTTCATAGAATGTGATCATATCTAACTTTGATTGCACAACTAATGACTTTCATGCACTGTTTTTCACTTTAGTGAGCCTTCATTTAATGAACTTTTGGGGCACGTGGGTGACTCAGTCAGTTAAGTGTCTGACTCTTGATTTCGGCTCAGGTCATGATCTCAGGGTTATGAGATCAAGCCCTGCATCAGGCTCTGCCTGCTTAAGATTCTCTCTCTCTCTCTCCCTCCTCCTCTGCACCCTCTCCCTCTCTAAAAATAAATAAATAAAATAAAATAAAATAATGAACTTTTGGATGGTATGATTATAGGATGAAAAACCCAAAATGTATTAACAGTGAATTAAACTTAGTCATCAAAATGGCTTGCAGAAGTTCTAGTACAGATAAAGAACAGTGTAGTTTACAGGCTATTAATGGCAAAAGATGCTGGAACCTTCTGCTTGCCAGCCAAAGACACAGCCATGTGCCAATTGCATAAATGCAGTTTATAATTCACTCAGCTGACCTGATTTAAAATTATGCAACTCTAAAACTAATTCTCTTAATTTGGATATTTCAAGTTTTTTATATAAGGTGAGGCTTTACTACTTTTATATCATTATCTCATTTGAATAATTTATATTCTTATCACATGAAATCATGCCATATTCATTAGCATGTGTCTTCATTCACCTCTTAGGGATTTTATATGGAAAATCCACCCTTTGCCTCTTTCTCTGTCCAAATCCAACGTAGTCCTCCTTTCTCTACCTAAGTAATCTCAGTCTCCTAGCTTTTAAATATCATCTACATGCTGATGACTCTCAAAGATACCATCTCCAGCCCCAGCCAACTCTAGATCTCCAGGAGAATACCAAATGGGCACCTCAAATTTAACATGTCCAAACTGAACCCTCAGGGTCCCCCGCCACACATCCCTCTTTGTTCCTCATCCCAGTAAACAGCAACATCATTCACCCAGCCAAAAACACTAGGCTCATCCTTGATTCTTTCTGCTCACACCCCATACCCAACCCAGAAGGCACGACCTTCAAAATATATCCTGAGCTTGACCAGTTCACATCATTCTATAATCCCCACTCTAATCCAAGTCGTGCCCGTATCTCCTGCTTGGACTCCTTCAGGTTACACTGATTCTACTCTTGCCCCCAAAGTCTATTCTCCACTCAGGACCCAGAGAAATAATTGTAAAGCACAAAGATGATTACTGTTCTGCTCAAACTCTCCAGTGTTGTCCAATCACATTCTCCTTATCATGGCCTACAAGATCTGGCTCCTACCTGCCACTGATCTCACTTCATATCACTTTCCCCATACCTACGTCCCAGCTCAAGGCCAGCCAAACTGGCTGCCCTCCTGTCCCTCTATCACGCCAAGCTCAGCTTACATCAAAGGCTTTTCTTTCTGCTTGCTGCTCCCTCTGCCTACACACTTCCCCCAAGATTCCTTCACTCCATTCAGATCTCTGCACAGAATTTCTCCCCCTCTCTCCCCCATGCACAGAAGTCTTCTCAGGTCACTCTTTCAAAAACAGTCCCTCCAGCCACTCATTTTGGGGTTTTTTCCCCCCATGGCACTTATTACTACCTGAAATTATTATTTAGTGATTTACTTTGTTCATAAAATAATTTTTAGTGAACATCCATCATGTTTGCATGCGAAGTGCTCTTCTAAGGGCTGGGGATATCCAGTGAACAAGATAAGCAAAGATCTTTGCCCTCTTGGAGCTCACATTATTTGCCACCCTACTTGAATCTAAGCTCCAGAAACATGGACACAGTCTGCCTTTAGACCCCTGAATCTCCAATGCCCAGAGCAGTGCCTTGGCACACAGTAGGTATTAATACATATTTGCTGAATGGGTAGTGGCCCACCCACCTGAGACCATCTGCTTCCCTGAGGAACCCCACCATGGAGCTCTTCTTGCCCACCAGATGGGACTCTGGTTGTAGGACCCAGAATGTCCACTGTGTCCCTTTAGACACAGCAATCTGGCCAGCCTCCCATGCCTGAGTTGGGTCTCTAACCCTGGGCCTGCCTGTCCTAACTGCATGTCCTTCCTGCACCAACCCGCAGCACTCCGCGAGCTCCCCACCTGGCCATGCCACTGAGACTTGTCTCACTAGGTCATACCAGCTCCTGGTCCACATGGTGGCAGCTGACCAGCCAGTCAGCAAACAAACCGGCTTTTCTCAACAAAGAGTGGTGGGGATCCAGACACATGGGTCCTACTGCCTCCTTGGCTCATGGTGGTCCTTCCCCTCAAAGAGCTCACACGAGACCTTCAACATCAACTAGCCGGTGCTCCCCGGAGCGTCCTCGGCTCAGCCCCAACGCACCGCTGCAAAGAACAGATATTTGCCTCCTTCCACTGTCACAGAAGCAAGACACTTACCTGCTGTGATGAGTAATTCAGTTTCTTTTGGAAAAATGAGGAACATTTGTTAACTGAACTTATCTGATCTCAAATAAAAATGAAGGTAATTGGGAAATGCAGTTAGTTCAGTCTTTCAAGAAAAGGGCAGCTGTAGCAGTGGTGGGAAAGGGGAGAAAAGGAAAATACAAAGGTCTTGAAGGACCACTCTGGAAGACTCAGAAAATAGGTGTTTAAGATCGGTGTTTCCAAAATACCTGTGCACATTTTAATTTGTTAGCTTAGAACTACCCAGCTCTACATCTCAAAGCTAAATAGGGTTACTTTCTATTTGTCCAGCACTTTATTCTGTATGAAGCATTCTCAGATATAGGATCTCTTTTAGCAAGACAGGTTTCATTTCCTGTCCAGGGCCCAGAGAGGTCAAACAATTCACCTGCGATCCCACAGTAGAAGTGGCAGAACCACGTAGGTATCAGAACCCAGATATGCCTCGGCCCAGCCCAGTGTTCTTCCTCCTAGTACAGTAAGGACGGTGTGGTCTCTGAAAATCACATTCTACAGTCCACCAAAAATATTTCCTTTCGTTACAGCAGAAGAAACAAAACAGAGGTGCCTGGGTGGCTCAGTCGATCAAACATCCAATTCTTGATTTCTGCTCAGGTCACAATCTCAGGGTCAGGGGATGGAGCCCCATGTCAGGCTCCACACTAGGCGTGGAGTCTGCTTAGGATTTGCTCTCCCTCTCCTCCTCCCCTGTTCCTGCACATGCTCGTGCTCTCTCTCCTTCAAAAAAGAAAAGAAGGATGGAAGGATGGATGGAAGGATGGATGGATGGATGGATGGATGGATGGAAGGATGGAAGGAAGGATGGCTGGATGGCTGGAAGGAAGGAAGGAAGGATGGCTGGAAGGATGGAAGGATGAATGGAAGGAAGGAAGGAAGGATGGGTGGATGGAAGGATGGAAGGAAGGAAGGAAGGAAGGAAAAAAGGGGGAGAAAAAAGAAACAGAAACGGAAACAAAACAAAACACGTATTTACCAGTGGTTTAAGGTGGTGGGATGCATTGGTCCTGAGCTCTGGGCAGAGAGAAGGTTTCACAAAGTCTTCCAACAAATGCCAGCCCCTGCAATGACAAAGATACAAAACATGTATCAGTGAATCAGGTGTGAATCAGGCACTCTGTGGCCTCTCCCCAAGGAGGCCAGCCAAAACACCAATCGGCAGGCAGCCTGTTTAGGCTTACGCCCCCATCCTCCTCTTCCAGCCACCACTCTCTTCTCCGACTTCCCCAACTGGAACAAGAATCTTTAGTTCACCAGCTGAAATGGTCCCCATTAGAATCAGTGGACCTTGGACAGAAAGAAGCTTTAGAGATCATCTATAACAGGGCTCACAAACTGAAAGCTCAGTGGGTTACATCTAGCTTATAGCAGTATTACAATCGATCTGTAAGATAGGTTTAGAAAATTTGAGCCAAAACTTAAAAATCACAGAGGTCACATAAAAACCCAGACTTCTAAGCTCTCTTAAAACAACAACAACAGGGGTGCCTGGGTGGCTCAGATGGTTAAGCATCTGCCTTCGGCTCAGGTCATGATTCCAGGGGCCTGAGATAGAGCCCAGCATCAGGCTCCCTGCTCAGTGCAGAGCCTGCTTCTCCCTCTCCCACTGCCATTCCCTCCGCTTGTGCTCTCTGGCTCTATCTCTCTGTCAAATAAATAAATAAAATCTTTAAAAAAAAAAACCAAAACAACAACAACAACAAAAAATCAGTCAACATGGCCTCCACATGTCTAAAAACGATCAGCTGTGCTAAGTAGCAGCTGCCCTTCAAGGCAGGCTTGGCTACTCCAAAATGCCACACTCCCTACCGCTACCTGTCTCACCGCAGAGAGAGCTGTGGTTATCACTGCCCTTGTATTATTGGGTTTTTTGGTCTTGTGTGTGTGTGTGTGTGTGTGTGAGTGTGTGTGTGAGAGAGAGAGAGATACAGAAATAATTCCCTCTACTTAACGAAAGTGGGAATGTAAAAGGAAAAGGGGCAGAGTTCCAAGAGGAAAAAAAATGGTACGGCACATCAGCAACTTAAGTTAGTACCCCACTCTGGAAGGCAAGTGAAATCCCTGGACAAGTACAACACTTCCATATTATAAAAGTATAAGCAGGAAACTGACTTGCCTACTCCCACAGTTAGAAGCAGAGCTAATTCTAGAACCCAGGTCTCTTGACTGCCAATCTAGGCACTCTTCCACTATGTCCCACCGTATGGTAGTCTTATATTGTAAAACAAAAAATATTTTATATACACAGGTGTGCATGTATGGGTCTTTTAAAGCTAATACTAAAGTCAAGGAGATAGAGTTGAAGTATTCAACCCGCTCTACTGAAAGGCTTGCCATACTCTTCTATTCTTTGACGAATGAAGGTAAATTCCATTAGGTTCCCTAAGGCTTCACTTCCTAATGTGACAGTCTCAAGAATGTGGATCCTTGGGCTCCTGGGTGGCTCAGTCGGTTAAGCATCTGCCTTCAGCTCGGGTTGTGATCCCAGAGTCCTGGGATCAAGCCCTGTGTCGTCGGGCTCCCTGCTCAGCGGGGAGCCTGCTTCTCCCTCTTCCTTTACCTCCAACTTGGGCTTGCTCTCTTTCTCTCTAGCGCTCTCTCTCTCTCCCTCAAAAAAAACAAATAAAATCTTAAAAAAAAAAAAAAAAAGTTGCTCCTTTAAGAACAAAAAAGTCTCATAAATACCACGCATCTATTACTACAAAAGTGGTCAGTTAATGTCCCAAACTGTCTGAAATACTCTTTATGCTAGAAAAATGTCCTTTGATATGCATTTTGAATACAAGGCTACAAATAAGCTTATATAGAGGTACTAGACTATAATAAACAATGCTCAACTAGAAGATCTTGGTAGGAGTTATTTATATCATCCCCTCAAAGAATGTACTGATTCATTGATCACTCAACAGGTACTTACTGAACCCAATTACACGCCAGGCAGTGTGCAAGGTGATGGAAACAAAAAGATGAACCAGATCCAGTCCCTGCCCTTAAGCTGCTCTGTCAAGGTAAAAGATCTGATACTCAAAAACAGTTCTAACACAAATGGGGAAACCTAAAGATCTGGGAAGGCACCGGTGTTCTAGGAGGCACTGGGCTGGGGCTCCTGGTGCAGCTGAGGGGAATAGACACTTCCCAGCATGGACAGATGCCGAGGAAATCCTAAAGCAGGGAGGGGAGTGGAGCAGGCAGGGGGAGAAAAGAGGAGAGGGTGGGAATTATAGGCCATGGGGCAACATGGGCAAAAGCAAGGAGTGAACAGCCCCTCCAATTTGGTCTCATCCACATTTCGTGTTACCTTGTCAGTCGTAAAAGCCCCTGCCACCTGGGGGCACCTGGGTGGCTCAGTTGGTTGAGTGTCTGACTCTTGGTTTCAGCTCAGGTCATGATCTCAGGATTGTGAGATCGAGCCCCACGTCAGGCTCCATGCTCAGTGGGGAGTCTGCCTGAGGTTCTCACTCTCCTTCCTCCCTGCCCAGGCCCCCCACCCCACTCACGCTCTTTCTAAAATAAGTAATCTTAAAAAAAAAAAAAAAAGCCCCTGCCACCTGACCCAACATCTGCTGAGAGGTCATGTACACTTGTGGACATTTATCTCGCCAAGTGCCCATATCAAGAGTGCCACCATTTATCAGCACTGATTTCTGGCAATGCCCACCTAGGACTCCCTCAGGGCAACCAATGCTGTCCCAGAGTCTGCCAGGCCCAAGAAACATGGTGGTAAAAATACTGACCCTTCTAGTATTTTTAGTACTTCTGTCATGTCCCTGAAAAGACAGCTGATAGTTTTTTGTCCTGTGCCAGTCATGAGCCCATCCTGTATCTACCTCAGGGCCTGGATTTCTATGACCAGAATCTACTATGCAGTCAAGCCTTAAGCAGGAAGTTTTGTAAGAAAATGTCCCAGAATATCTGCCCATCAAAATCCCCAGGTGGAGTTCTCCCATTCTCATGGATGGGATAGGGATGAGTCGCCAGCCCCAATCTAGGCTGAAGCAAAGCCAGGGGGCAGCACCCCAAAAGAGACACTTTGGAAAGGAACATAAAGAGGAGTGAAGACCAAATATGTGTGCATGGTTAGGGTTGCTCAGGGTTCAAGACCAAGATGAGCAAACAAAGAGGCAAAATTCACCTCAAGAGTGGGAAGAACATCCCTGGATCTGTCACTGGTGGGCAGGTTCCCAAATCTGGCTGACAATTAGAATCACTAAGAAAAAAAAATTCCTGGGCCCCCGACTCATTAAATCAGAATCTCTGATTTGGAGGCCCAGGCATTGTTCAGGTGATTCTGATGCCCAGAGTCCTACCCATTTGGAAAAAAGTATCTTTCACTCAGAGGCTTCAGGAGCTCCAGAAAATCTCCTCAAGGTCATTAATTCAGCATCTCCAGGCAGGATGCAAGGATCCAGGCTTCCGGGGCGTTGCACATTCTTAGTGTGTTTGGCCACTCCCTACATCACATTAAGAGAACCATCACTGAACTCGTTTTATTCTAAATACGTAAACATATAATGCCTGCATACGGTGACCCGGAGCCACTGCTTCCAGATTCCAGTCTCAGCAGATCTGAGCCCTCATACCTATGCAGGCTCACCCTGTAGGGCAAAGGGTCTGGGAGCATCCAGTCACCAAGGTGGCCTTCAAGGAACAGTTCCAAGGCACAAAGTACTCTGCCTCAAGTCCTTACTGCCCACCAAAGAGAAGACACTGAAGATCAATGCAATGCCTAGAAACCTGCCACACCAGCTGAACACTTCTCCTTCCAGATTTCCACTTTGTGGTTAACTGATGGCCTGAGCAATCTCAAGCCAAGAATGGCAAAGTAAATGCTGTGCGCCACGAAGATGACAGACGGGAGTAAGTTGGTTCCGTGAATGGGCCAACCTAAAAAGATCTCTCTCCTGACATCACCAGATGCTACCAGGTGACCTTCAGACAGCCCAGCACCAGAGAAACCCGCAGCTGACCAACGTCAGCCTTCCTGATCGCAAGGCCCAGCAGCATTCCATAGTATCCTTCACCCGGAGGATACTCTTACGCATCCCCGCCAGCCTAAGGGTCCTCCACTTGAGCCATAATGCAAATTTGGAAGAGTGTAGGTGGGACAGGAAGTCTAGGAAAAGCTCAAGATACTAATCTGCACCTTCTGGGGGTCATCAATTTTTAGGCAATCCATTGTTTCCTGCAGTACCATTATGCCCTTGCCTAAAACAAGACATTTCTTTGACTTATCCCTCCAAAAGAAATCGCCAAATGCCAAACACCTGGAACCATTACCTCTCTCATTTACCTCCTCCTCTCTACCCTACCCCAAGAATATAGAACAATGCTAGGTGTTGTGGAAGTCACATTAGCCACCTTCATTCCTACCAATCTAGACCATCCAAATAGGTCTAGTCCAATGGGAGCCTCTAGGGTTACAGGTCCTCAGAGCACTATGTACCTCTCCATAGCACAAGCACTTACTCATGCTTACCTCCTTTGCGGTTTACCTGGTAAGGAGTCTTTTGCTTGTTTGCCCAGCTAATCACTGTATGCCAATATAATGCCTTCAAACCCTCCAGGTTCCCTCAAGATATACCTCAAATTTCATATCTCCCAGCTGAAGGATGATCAAGCTAACCCATCCCCTAACTACTTAGGTCTGCCACTAGACTCTGAAATCTAGGCCCCCACTAATTAGCCCACTAATTTAGTGGACTCAGAAGAACTGCTCAGAAAGCTAGTCTAAAATTGGAGAAAATCCCCAACTGGCCTTGAGGCTGACCAACTTGGGAAGGAATCAAATAAAAATAATTATCTTTATTTCTTTTGTGCAGTATATATCATTTTATTCAAGATGATTTTCTAATACATGCAAAATGAACTTTTTTGGCCCGGAAAGTACTTCCCTATATCCCAGAACAAATCCCACTGGGACCATGCCCAAATACTCCATGCCAAGGTAGCTCAAACAGGAATCACCTCTGGTCCCTTGACCAGTTGTCCTCCCTCTACACCCATTGGCAGAGGAAAGTGGGTTTGGAGGAACTTTTTAAAGCCCTTCCACCTACTTCAGATT